ACTAGCTATGTTTTGACAGAGATGTAGAACACAGATTCAAATGATGTTGTGTATCATATTGCTTCAGTACATTCATAAACTAGGAAATAGTCAATACAATCACAAAGTTAAGAAGTCGTTATACCTATCGCTGGTTGTATACATGTATAGCACCCGTGAAGACCAGGGGGAAAATAGGTCTTCAGCAGCCCATGCTTGTCTCCCCGTGAAGATGCAGGGTGGAATAGGTCTTCAGCAATCCATGCTTGTCCCCCGTGAAGACCAGGGGTAGAATAGGTCTTCAGCAACCCATGCTTGTCTCCCCGTGAAGACCAGGGGTAGAATAGGTCTTCAGCAACCCATGCTTGCCGTGAAAGGCGACTACTATGCTTGTCTTAAGAGGCGACCAACGGGATCGGGTGGTCAGGCTCGCTGACTGGGTTCATGCATGTCATCGATCCCAATTGCGTGGATCGATGCTCATGGTGTCAATCACTGGATTGTCTGGTCCAGACTCAATTATTTACAGACAGCCGTCATATAGCTTAAATATTGATGAGTGCGGCGTTAAACAACAAACAAACATACAAAGCATACATGTATAGTCATGGAAGATAGATGCATTCATAAGGTGTCTAAACGCCTTCATGAAAATTCATGTTTGCAATATCTACAAATATGATGGTCATACAGTGAACGTCAGCAGTACCTGAGGCGATGTCTTAGCGCGACTGTCCTCTTAGGATTATATTTACGATTCTTAGACATTGTGTGTCCACGTATGTGACAGAACGTGGTGGTTAGGCGCTAATTTATGTTGGACCTCTTGTAATGTCGAGGATTTGGGGCTCCTCGCTTGACAGTGCACTGCAAAGCATGCGAGTCTATGTGTCGGACCCAGAAACAACGACACGGGAATGTGAGGATCTCGCTGTTAGCTACGAGGTGTAGAAGTCGTACATCACACGTACAAAATGTGTATATATATTAATATTATATACTAACACAACAAAATAATGCAGATATTACTATTCATTACAATAATGGAAACAAATAGAAACTCTCAAAATACAAGCTCTCATTACATGTACGGTAAATTTATTAATGTGCAAGCTTTTATCCAGCGCTTTCAGAATAAAACACACAAGTAGTGGAAGAAGTATTCTTATCGACGAGAGTACAAGTATTATTTAGGATTGACATAAAATTAGCTGACAGATTTGTAGGGGCAAATGCAACATGTAGCCCAGGTGATTAAGTAAAATATCACTTAGCCATCGATAGTTTGGCAAACTTGCCTCATATTCCCCTCGTAAACGTTCCTCTCATGGTAGCACAGGGCAGTGGTGGTGTATTAGATTACAAGTGATATGGAATGAGAGTAACTATTATATGGACATAAACTGTTGCATTCTTTGTTGTAGGGCGCTACTAGATGAACCTCATGATGTCAGTAGAGTCCTTTAATATCAAAGTTTAGAAGATCAGGGATTGAAACAATTTCAGCCTTGACTATCGCCATCTGGTACGCACATTCCCCAATACACGTAAATGTTAATCATAAACTCCATTTTTTCTTTCATTTGTGTCAGTGCCTAAGTAAGAGATCTAGACTCTGTGTTAACAGCAACTCGAAGTGTTGAAGACAAACTTGTTGTTTTAAATCTACTTTCGATATCGGCTTTGAACTTGCATCAGTACTTACTATTTCTGGAAGCATGAGAATTCGTGCGAAACGGATGAAATATCTTTTGGTTTCTTGCGAAGTTCTTTTAAATACTCAACCGACCGCATAGTTTCAAATGCAGATCCTGTTTATCGTTTTTGTATCAGTGCCTAAAAAAACAGTCGGTGAATTCGTTTGAAGTATCATTGTTTCGTGTTTGAAGTATTATTGTTTCGTCATCGTAGCCTGCCTGAATATGAATAATGCCCACATGAGCTGAAACTGTATTTCTTATCTTTCCTTATGCAGATCATCTTAGATTATATTTTGAGTTATGGGAACTGTTAATTTAAGTTATATTTAGTGCCATTAAGAGAGGCTGACAGTATTCCTCGGGTAGCTGTGGTCAGCAATCCACGTGCGGCGCACGCGTATCACTCCTGTGGCGTTGTTTCCTCTGTTAAAAACACGGTCCTCAATACGAGTGAATAAAAGGAAATTATGTCTAATGTGAAATCGTCAGGAATAGGGTAGGGAGCCCAAGGAAGGCCGTTAACGGGGCTAGTTTCTCAAAACTGACGTCTTGCACTGACATAAACCGGAAGCCGTCTGCTAGTCCTACGAGCCCGAGGCGGAAGTCGACTGTTTCTGCTATCTGCTGTAGCCGAAGCCAGATTTCTCCGCGAGCTCCTGGATTGTGAAGATGTTCTACGAACGGATGCTCTTAATTTAGTTATTTTGTCCAAATGAAATTAAAGAAAATACCGCATTGTACGGTCAGCCTTTTGTGTTCTCGAAGTGATCTCTCTATTGTCTTGATAACTGACATTTGTTCGCTGTCCACAAAAGCTTGCAATTAATCCTTGACGAGAAACTCTTTATTGTATTGTGAGTGCGATTACTTGTAAGTGAGATTATATGCTGTCTTAGAGACGACACTAGTTTCGTTACCACGAAAGTGCAAATTATTACCTGAGGTATGGCACTATCCCACATCCACTCCTTGTCAGTTAACGCCTCACAGATACAGCACCGGTTACTTCGTATTTCTGGTCAAAACTTCTTTTCCATAGATAACATGCGCTTAGTTAGTAAATTCGTTATCTGATAGATCGTGAAATTACATTGAGACCTGGACTCAAGGGGAGCTGTTGCTTTTTAAATTTAGTTTTAGATATCACGGGTCACGACGAAAAGTCAAATGTCTACCTTCTCTGATGTGATAACTGATTGTTTAGTTTCCAAAATGAAGTTGTCAGCAATTTACTAATATTATTTGACTTAGCAAGAAACGTAGACAATTAAAGCAAACATGAGCTGTAAGGTGTGAGTAGCTAAAGCAAACAGACAAGTGTGTTGTCGGCATTGACAGCCAATGACATCTAACCGACAGGGCGCTTTAATGTAGCATTAACGCTTGAATGGGCATCAGCTATTGTCTTAAGTGTTTAAACAGAATACGTTATCAATCCGCCTCCGGTCATCTGTTCAAGAAACCAAGACTATCCTTTTGGTCATTGTTTCCAGGATAGAATTACTCAGATCAAATATGAACTTTTGATACATTTTCAGACGATATCATTTTTTTATTTAAGATGACAGAATGTCAATAAATAATAACGGGAAATATGTACGTCAAGTGTATTCTTCCAAGATAAGGACATATCTTTCTTCATATATTGGATTCTCCTTTGTCCTATCAATATGGCATTTTGTTTAATTTTATATCCATAATACTGAGTTTTATTTCACTGTCAAAATACGGTATTATTTTCTTAGCCAAAGCTTACGTCCTCGCATTTCAAAGCAGAATATCAGGCTTGCAATATAATCATATGATGATATACGATACGCTTTTGATGATACGACGAAGCTGTGCGGATCATGAAGATATCATATGGCGGGTTAAGACATCAGAACAATACATTCGCCTGTCACCTGAGATATTATAGAAGGCAATAAATTTCCCTAAAAGGTAATTATCATTAATGCTGACAGTAGGACGTCACAACTATCAAAGGAGTATGTTTTTCTTGTCTTACTTCACGAAGAAGTGTTTAGTGCTCTCATACAATAATACCACAATGAATTAAGAAAGTAGTTTCATATCTGATGTATCAGTGTACGTTTTGTTTCCTTTAAATGGTTTAAAAAGAAAAAATCACAGACATTATGTCCGTCTAAAACCAAATCGTGTAACTCAATACGGGCAATGCTCAACCATATTTTGGTTTTCATAAAAGCCTTTGTATTATTTCATATTGCCGCCAGAACGTACCAAAAATAAGAAGAGTTCCCAGGATAACCACACGCTCAGATATAGATTTTAAGCGATACCATATCAGTGGAATATTTTAAAGAAACAGTTTGGTGATTATACACAATGCTATGCTATAGGGGTAATTAATATTTGCATAAAAATTAAATGTCATTGTAAAGGAAAGGACACCATTTTACATAAAAATAGATAATCACATCTTTGATCAAACAGGGACAATTATCCTACCGGTTTTTTTGCGTACAATAATTATATTTTTCTCCCAGAATATTATATTTCACGTTTGAAAAGCTGCTCTACATGACGGCATGAGTTTGCAACGTTCTCTGGAACCATACCTGTTCTATTCCTTCTCAGTACAATAGACGTATATTAACAATTTGCAATACAATTGATAAATTAATTTATTGATGCTTCACAATTGGTTTTAGCTAACCGTGTACAACTAGATACGGGAGACTGGGAGTTATTCTTCCGTAGAAATGAAACCTTTCAAGCATGACACGTTTCTGTGCAGAAAGTTGTGGTAGGAAATAATATTAATTCCTAGAGTGTTGGTTGTGATAGTCGGTTGGTTTTCATTTGGTCATACCTCATTATGTTAATGAATGGCGTAGTTAATATCATACTGACCAACATATGGTGTTTCAAATCGGGGAAACCTCGTGTCAGATCAAGTGATAAAAGTGAAAGATGTATTGTAATCTCTCTTTTTTCACCCCAATGTTAAGGCTTTGTGTTTGATATATATTAGTGGCTTGTTCCAGCATGTTTGTTAATTACTGTACGCAACAACATGATTCCGTCATGATTTCATACGTTATTGCTTCGTTATTCTTATTGACGGTGTTTGAGTTTCGTGCTCATCTTAAGTATGTCGTTGAAAAAGAGGATATGCATATCACATACCTATATAACATAAACGCAAATTATGAGTAAATGTAAAGTGCTGATTTTTCTAGAATATGATTTCGCCTGTTATATCAAAGGTTGATAGATGTTTTATATTGTTACTCAGCTTATTTACATTCCCACCTACTCACATTGTTTATTCATACAAATATGTTATTCTTGTAGGCCACAGTGGAGTGAACCAATTGGGCGGCGTGTTTGTTAATGGTAGACCATTGCCAGACTCAACAAGGCAGAGAATCGTCGAACTTGCCCATAGTGGCGCCAGGCCTTGTGACATATCTAGAATTTTGCAAGTATCGAACGGTTGTGTGAGCAAAATTTTGGGCCGTTACTACGAGACCGGCTCCATCCGGCCACGGGCCATTGGTGGCAGCAAACCAAGAGTGGCTACAAATGACGTTGTTTCAAAAATTGCGCAGTTTAAACGCGAGTGCCCGTCTATATTTGCTTGGGAAATCAGAGATCGGCTGCTGTCTGAAGCTGTGTGCAATCAAGATAATATTCCAAGTGTGAGTATTCATTTGTATATACCTTCATCATGCATAACATCTGACACTTCAGTGATGAACAAACATACTTATATTAGTGAGGAGATGATATAATATTCTTGGGAGCATTATGCAGAGGAACATGCTGATACCAAACTACCTCCTTTTCTACAGTTCTGATGGGCTTTGTAGACTGATTTGAAGGTGTTATATCAACCTAAACGTAACAGTTAATCATGAAATCAATAGGAACCTCTTGTAACAATGCATTGATCCAACATTCTTGGACCAGATGGTAGTGTTCCCAGTATCTGTAACTGTATTCTGTGCCAAGTCTACTATTTTGGGAAGGGATTGTATTAACCATTAAGGAAAATTATATTCCACCACGGTTTATAGGCTTCACCAATACGACTACATGATATGGTCACCGTATGTGACATATTTCACCGTAGCCTACCAGAATGTTCACAAACAATACTCTGGCTTAAACTGTCTATTATGAAAAACTATTTCACAAGATATTAACTTAATGAAAATGGCTCTGAGATAGCGCATGCAACTGCTTTCCCTTGATTAACACCACGGCCTACACATGAAATCAATATTTTCATTTTAAGGTGCAATACGACTGTCATGTCGCAAGCAATTTTGGAATTTTAAGGTTAAACTGTAATCACTTCCCAGCCAGAACGTCACTGATTCAGACAAGGAAGATGGGCAAGTTAGGTCAGTATGACAATCAACCAATCAGAATACACGTTAGGTCACGTGACAATTCAGAAATAACACCACGCAGTTTCAGATATATTTTATCGAACCTGTTAAAAAAAGTGTTGTGGTCCTGTGTTGTTTCCTTCAGATACTCAAGGATTCTCGCTTAGCTTTATATTAGTAGCAACCTAACACATCTACATCATTCAGAACTTCAAATACAGGGTTTTTATATTGGCTGGTGTATTCTTTTGATCTGTGTTTTATTGCAGTGTATCGTTGCAGTGCTACTACAAAACACTTTTTTATTACCTTGTTTTATCGCTTTGTCCACTGGATACCGTTTAGCTCACGAACGAATACTCGTACAGCGCCACGTAGGGACGCAGTGTGTTGTGGCAATGGGGAGGGCATAATGTGTATTTCATGTAAAGTAGGGTTTAAGTATGGGCAATGGATCAAATCTATTGTTCACGTGTAGCGACTCGGAAACAGTTAGGAAGGAGAAGGTGCATTTATAGTATGTAAAAACTAGGTATGGACAATATTTAACCAACTTTACTTTAAAACCAACCGCATTAATGTTTGATACATTAAGTACATTCTTTATGCAGCGATACATTATGATCTTACTTCACAATGATATTGAACTTTGATTATGTTGAAAAATATGCTATTATTTCTTTCTCTAAAATGGATATTGTCATGTCCTACTGACGAAACGTTCAGCGTTTGAAAGACACCAAAGTGCAAGTAATACTGCTTTTGGATTCTCCAACAGGTACTTTTCGATTTAGGGATATTTTGTTCATAGTGATGGTAGACGAATTCTCACATACCTTCAAAAATCGTACACTCTAGTGTCCCTTGTTTGCTATGACTTCTGCATACATCACTCAACACCTGCAGAAAACATAAAATGGGATACATAATAATGCTAAAATAAACACAAACAGTTTATCATCGTCGGTGGCGGCAATCCTATATTTAATAGAGACCCTCAGAAACGTAAGGAGAGGTTTTCTGAACTGGCAAACAGAAACTGAGGCTAGAGTCTCTGTTTGGCCATTGAAAACACACAGCACGACTTCTTACGGGGAGTACAAGAGCAGAGCGCCACCTATAGAGCAGGCATTCTGCTAGAAGCGAGATGACGGTCCCATCTGTTCTCATCAGTGCCCATTGTGGCTCAGCTTCAAAGATGCGCCACAATTGTCCTCAAATGTGTGGTGTTTGCTGGGTAAAGGATATTATATTTAACATGTTTTGTGAGGAAATTGCTGCTTGGATTGAAAGACCCCTTGCAGTGAGCGAAGCCTATACGTGAGACGAAATTTGGGCTAGCAGGAAACATGCCCATACTCCGGCCCTCCACGCCCCGTAAATCTCTCTGTTGGGTTCAGATAAATGCTAAGAAGATAAAGGTTCTGTATGGCGTCAATAAAGTCTCACTACCCTCTACTGATATTTAACGATTCAATAAAGAGCCCTGTTTATGATGCCAAGTGCATACTTATATCCCATCCATCGAGGGGTCCTCTTAGCAGGGTTTCCCCACAGACATGGGGTCAGTACAAGAGTGATTGGGATTCTCGACCCTGTTTGGACCTTTTCTATCGACACCTATAAAAATTACATGGAATGTAGGCTGTGTATTTGGTCTAGAGTTAAGGTGGCAGGCGATGGCTAATGGGTTTTCTCCTATTATTACAAGGTCGATGATCAAAAGATATATATTCAGCACAAATCATAAACGATGTCGGACAGTCTAAACCTTTGTCGTTTGAAGACATGAAATCAAGGCTTTATATGAGCTTTTGTGACATTCTTTTGACGCCAAATAAAAAAATTAAGTCGTTTATATGCAAGTGACGATATAGGGAGTTGACGGCGGTGAGTTCATGCATGGGTGCAACTGATCAAATATCAAAGGTGACAGTTGATGTTTCATTGAAGGGCAAATGTCTATTGTATCACATTTGGGTCACATTGTATAACGAGACTAAAAGATGACAAGTATTACACCTTACACTGGTATTAGACAGGAAAATGCGTCATGCTTTGATATGTCTTCCTATTAGTTCAGACCATCTTGGCTATTTGGGGAAATGGGTTCTTTAGGACGCGGCTGCCGAGAACAAGTCTGAAGTAAAATGTCATAACTTGTAGCCTATTCGTCCAAAATGATTTCTTAATAAGTCAAATATATTCAATACTTACTTGTCATGTAATGGTTCTCGAAAAAGGAATGTTTGTTCATGCGAAGTAGCAGTAGGTTTATAAGTACCTAATTGAAATGACCATCTTTACTTGTTCGCTTAGCCGTGAAAGTTAATGAAATTGCAAAATTATTACAAATCCCCTCCGCATTCCCCCCAAACCGGATTTTCTCTAAGAGACTGATGAGGATGTGCTCGAGGGACAACAAAGGCTGGGAGGACGACATAAGAAGATCTGTTCAGATTTTCCCAGGAATACCTGATAAATTTAATTATCTTAAAATTTGCACTTAATTTCTTTTCTGAATTGGGCGTCCTTATCGTGCAGGTGCGAAGTAGTGTTCGATCATTACTCTGCAATGAAGATCAAATTGAGAGTGAGCTGATTAATTCTCTGATGATTCATAAGAAAGCTCCTGGCTATTCCTCTACATCTTGCAGTAGGAGTAAATTAACAAGAAAATCCCAAAGTATTGCCATTTGTTTGTAAGAATGGCTAGGTAATCCCCTTTGCCAGAACTAATCCAATATTTCTGTGGACCCTCGGTCTTTTTTCATCAGCTATTTAAACAAATACACGAGTAATGGAATCAAATACAGAGGACATGCATTTTATATGGCAAAATACACTTTAGAATTACATGAATCCTTTCCTTCTTCAAAGATTTCATTGATAAAGACATTATGATGTTGCGTAAGTGACACACACGTATTCACATAAGCATAAGCAAGAATAATCATTCTTCCACTGAATGGAGAACATCTTAAAACCGCGTTTTGTGTGTCAAATCATAATTCTTTCACAACTAACAGAATCATTCTTGATGATGTTCCAAGAAAATATATATCGAACCTTACTTCATTGTTTATTTACAAGTCATTTAGTAAAGTTGTGATTTATACCTTTGAGAACGAGGGAAAGTGTCAACATTCCTTTCTTGTCCAAATTAGTTAGCATGTAAGTAGCGTTGGGTATTAAGCAAACTGATTTTACCAAAATATACATTGTATAATTTATTATATGTTTTTCAAGATTTTCATCACTTTAGCTACAGCATCGATTAGATTGGTGCTATTCTCACACCTGGGTTTATGTCTAATCCAACGTTCTCCATAATAAATGATATTTTACACGTCAAACTGTCAAAGCCTCGACACAATTTTGTTCCTTTGAGAAATATGATGTAACAATGATAAAATATTTAGGAGTACTTTCCCTCTCATAATTTTTCGCCGGTTTAAAGCTATTCATATCTCTTTAAATCTTTGAACATTCAAAAAGGTGAAAAGGGACACCATATCTATAACCGAATAAGGCAGTTTCATCAATTTCAAAATGATCTTTGCGAAATGCGAAGGTTCAAATTATCCATCCTTGACTTTGTATTATCTTAGAAAAAAATATTGAAAAAATATGATTTATGAAATTGGTATCACACGAGATCATATGTCCTATATACAATAGACAGTGTATATAAAGAAACTGACATTAATAAACTGGTTTTGTGCTGTTTGACAAATGTGTAGGTATGGATATATTCGTTAAATACTGTGTGTTCTGGTTATACCACGTCGTATTGGACGTACTGTATAACGTGTCTTGTCATTTAATACCAGTATTTAGGTTACGATGACACATTGAACATTCATAACAGCAAGTGAAGGTGCTATGTTATTTCTCATTTCATAAAAGAAATAACCTATAGGGATAATGTAAGGATACTTTACATGGAGGTTTGTCAATGAAAGCTGGACCATAGTCTCAATAACGTGAGCGGTGCTGAAGAAATAAGCCATTGTCTTCGACTGAACATGCAAGATGTAATCAGCTGAATCCCCCACTGATGGTCTGGGCATTAAATGTCAAAGTCATGGTCAACTCCAATCCGAGACCAAAGGTCATCGAATGTCCATACGTCCAGATGTCCCGTTGTCATCACCCATGTTCTCCTCGCCCGAGCACTGGCTTGAGCGTAGACTCAAACTCCGACAAGGGGTCTCGCTTCTTTAATTATCCTGTAGTTGACAATTACTCCAAGTTGAGCGGGTGACGGAGTAGCCTGGGGCTTTTTCGTCAGCTTCTTCTAG